TATACCATGTTACATGGTGGTACAATTCTAAGGCCAACCAAAGTTAAAAGAAAAAAAAAGATTAGTCTGAGAAGGCAGTCTAAAATGAAGGTTGAGCCACCTTAGAAGAAAGGATTTAGGTGGATGAAGAAGGAAACAAGCTGGCAAGGACCAGAGATGGGAAAGACCAGATGTGTTGGGAAGACAGTGGGAAGGTGTGGGTGGCCAATGGAGAAGGTGTAGGTTTGGGAGGTAGAATAGAGGAGGAGAGTGCGGGGACTGCAGAAGGCCTAGGACAAAATCAACAAATGGATCCCAGTCGGTTGAGATGCACATCGAAAAAATCATTTTCTACACCCTCAATCTCATCCCTAAAGGAGACAGCCTCAGAGAAGATGCAAATCTTAAAGAGCAATTGAACAGTGGGAGCAACAGCCAATCCTAGGGACTCACATAAAAGTAAAATTTAGGTCATAAAAAAAACCTTAAAGTAAGTATCATAGTTTACTAAAACTCACAGTTTATCAAAGAATAATAGGAAGAAACCTGAATTCACTAGCAACTTTCACACAAAGATAAGTCTTTTCTCAAGAGAAACTCACTTTTAATATCACTGCATGGTAAATTTAATAGATTTTTTTTTAAATGTAATGACTAATATTAACCATAGACTGACACTATTTGCTAATTCTGGGAGACCTAGAAATATATAGACGTCAAAAGCTCCAAATGTGTTTTTGTGAGACAGTCACAATTTTGCAGACAGCTTCAGATAAGCCCAACAATTGAGAGGCTGTAAATATCCTTGCTCTTTCATTAATCTCTAGCTATATTTAGTAGCAGGGCTTCCTTTGTTCAAGTTACTTTCAACAAATCCATATTTATGATCCCAAAGGTATGGTACCTTGTACATATGTGTTAAGTGGATAGATGGTTACATAGATGGATAAAAGAATGAGCCATCGAATGACTGTATTAGGATCTTTGAGATGTTGCATACAAGAGGGCTTTAAAAAGTTCATGGAAAATGCATGTTATGAAAAATTATGCATAGATTTAAAAAATTAGGCCACCAGAATAAACTTGTATTTGAATTCAAATTTTCCATACACTTGTTGAAATCTCATATACAAAGCTTCATATATATTGATCCTAGATTTGGCCAGGGCTAAGACTTCCAGGCTTTCATAAACACATCTTCAGTATTTAGCAACAATCAGATGGGCATTAAAATGTCTCACTGGGAGCTATAGAGTTTGGAGTGTGAAGGAAAAATAGTTAACTCTAGACAAGGATAATGATGTGGGTGAGAGCAGGGTGGGTTCATTGAGAAGCCAATGAGGCTTACAATTCAGAGGCCCTCACTTGCGTAGGCCCTTCTGAAGGCTCTTCCAGGAGCGCTAGGAATGTATTCACATGGGGGTGTGATTCTGTAAAAGTTACCACAGTAAGGCATAACAAAATTTATTCTCCAAAAAAGGGCCATCAAAATAAGTTTCAGGCCCTACAGACTGTGGGTCTGGCCTTCTGTAACAGGTCAGAAGAAAAAAGTCAGTAGTAGGAGAAATACTGACGGGTCCTAAGAACAGTGTCCCAGTTGTGGGGACTGGAACTTGGAGTGCCAAATTTCTCAGCAGCTTCTCTTTCCTTTCTGAAAAACAAAAACAAAAACAAAACAAAAACAAACAAAAAAACCCCCCACCATTTCTTAGGCTCATAGTTCTCATATCACGACTTTCCTTTCAGCTTTTACATCTTCTTCCCAAATGAAGTCACAAGAGACATTCAGCTGTTACAAACTTCATGTCAAGCTTTGAAGTGCTTTTTAATAGCAGAAATATTTGGCTCACGTGTGGGCTTTGTAGCTATGGTAAATACCTCTTAGTTATCTGTCGCTACTGTTATTCCACACCTCCAATTTGGAGGAGAAATTCTGCATATGCATTGAGGCACTAAAAAAGAATATTGAACTATATCTTAGCTCCTTTGTGAATGGTTTCCTTTTATTTCTTCTCTCATGGAACTAATACTTTTGTCACATTGTACCGGTTATGGGTGGGAAAGCAGAGACTAGAAGAAGAGAGCTGATTATTGTACCACTGGTTGGCAGTTTCTCTTAGCTTCCTGAAGGTTAAGTGGTCACGTAGCTCCTTAATGTAAGATCGAAGCATCTCAAGGACTGTATTCCGCAAGAATTTTAGACGACTTTGGACAAAATGCTTGTGGTGGTTTAAAAGAGAAGAAACTGACCACAATTAGTATGAGATAAAGATAGGAGGAAAAAGGCCTTATTAGAAGTTCCTACATGAGCATCGACAGACATACAGACTACATGCCCAGATACGTATCAGAATAATATATTTAGAAATGCATTTTTGAGAACATAAAAATAGAAACAAAGGCCACGAAGTAAGCATTTGGGATGGGTCCTGCGTTTTGCTCCTTGATGTAACTTAATTATTTTATGAAGAGATGACAGAAAATACTGTTGCACTCTTAAGTTAAACACTTGACATTTTCATTCCTCAAAATGCAACATTTTAGAAGTCTAGATATGTTTATTAATTAGTGATTATTAACACCCAGTAAACAACATTATGTCTTGTAAAAACACAATCTCTCTTCACAGCATGAAGCTGAAATCTATTATTCCCTGATTCCATATGCTGAAATACACTCAAATGGTCACAAATGACCTTAAGCATTAAATAAATGTAAATGAGGACAACATAGAAAATGTGCTTTTGATTGATAACTAAAAGACTAGGTTGAAAATCACGTCCAAAACTGAAGTCCTCTCCAGAATGGCATGGCCGTCTGCACAATGGAGGAAAGGCTGGCTTAAGAATGAAGGCCACACAAGTAAGGGCAGAATCTCTCCTTCTCTGGACCTGCTGGAGGTTCTCCGGGAAACAGAACTGGTTTGTTCATTTTTTATGAGAAACACAGAGCATACTGCCCCTGTATCAGTGGCCTATCTGAACATTCTAGTGCAGAAGTTAAAAATACAGAGGACACTTCATTACATTCACCAACTGATATAAGAGAAAAAAATGATTGTTGATTCCATAGCCTCATCCCAGTATAACAACCACTTTAGTTTTTAGCACTGTAGCTGTTCATTCATCTTTTTTCTTTCTTTTTTAAAAATAATGTTTTTAATTTATTTTTAAAATTTGGTCAGAGAGAGGCAGTGTGTGTGTGTGTGTGTGTGTGTGTGTGTGTGTGTGTGAAAGAAAGAGAAAGTGAGAAAGCAAGCCACCAGGTCTGGGACTCAAACTGTGGTCAGCCATGTGGGAGTCCACCTCCCTTAACCACTGCACCACCTATCAGCCCCTCTTTCTTTCTCTTTCTTCCTTCCTTTCTTTCTTTCTTTCTTTCTTTCTTTCTTTCTTTCTTTCTTTCTTTCTTTCTTTCTTTCTTTCTTTCTTTCTTTCTTTTTTAAAGAGAGAGATTTTTGCTATAGGGCATGTGCACTCACTGAAGAGACAAAGAGAGATGAAGAGAGACAAAATGAGAAATCATCCCCCAGGGGACTGGCTGCACTGCAATTCCTTCTCCTTCTGGGATTTTGAGCACACATGCATTCCCAGCCTGAGTTTCGAGCCACCAATCCAGGGTTCTAACCAGAGTCAGTCATGTGGGAGTCCAGTGCCTTAATCAATATGCCACCCACTGGCCCCTCACCTTTCTCCCCTCCCCCAAATCCAGCAGTTGAGTGTGAGAAAGTGTTCTTAACACAGAGAAAACTCAAAGGATGACAGATTAACAATAAATAAAATAATTAAAAATGGAATCGTTCTTGTAAATATAGATATTTCAGGTACAAACTACTGAATGATTATCATTTTTTTTAGAGGATTTTTTGCTATAGGGCGCATGCACTCGCCAGACAGACAGAGAGAGACAGAGAGACAGAAAGCGAGAAATCACCCCCCAGGAGGGATGGCCATGCCGCAATCCCTTCTCTTCCATTCTCCTCTTGGGATCTTGGGCACACATGCACACGTGCCTGGCATGAGTTTTAAGCCACCGGGTCCGGGACGCGAAACGCGGTCGACCACATGGGAGTCCAGAGACATAGCCATTACGCTAACTGCTGGTCCCCAATGATTATCATTTCTCTAGGCCTGTTATCAACAGGGAAAAAAATAGAATATAGCATCATAGAACACACCATTGTTTGGCTGAAGGGATGCATATCTCCTGGTTTGGATAAGAATGAACAGAATCTATTGATAAAAGGAAGTGGCTGTGTAGACATTTTTTTTAAAGAACTGTTTTATTTAACTTTAATTATTTTAATTTGATTAGAGGAGGGGGAGAGAGAGAAAAAAAAAAAAGAGAGAGAGAGTGAGAAAGCAAGTCCCCTGGTCTGGGATTTGAACCAGGGTCAGCCATGTGGTAGTCAAGCATCCTTAACCACCATGCCACCTGCCAGCCCGACTATTTTTAAATCATAGAACAGAGTAAGAGTTCTCAACCTTGGCAATATTGACATTGTGGGCCAAACCTTTCTTTGGCATGGGGACAATCCTGTGCGTCGGAGAATGTTCAGCGCCATCCCTGGCCTCTATTCACTACATGCAAGTAGCAACACCACCCCTAAGTCTTGATCATAAAATATGTCTCAGAGAATGCCAGAAGTCCTTGGTGGGGACAGTGTGCAAAACTGTCCCCAGGTTAAGAACCACTGGAATAGAGCCATTTAAGAAGGTCCCAGATTGGACTTTTCTAAACATCCTATTACATCATCTCAACCCTTAAGTCATCCCTGCCTCAGTGTTCCACACTGTTCTCTTCAGTTTTCTCATCTGTTGGTTGGATACAATGTGAGTGACTGCCTGCTTCATAAGGGTCTGGTGAGCATTAAATGAGATAATACTTGTAAAGTGCTTTGATGAGTGCCTGACACACAGTAAGTGCTCAATAAAGGTTTGTTATTGTTATTTTTAATAACCATACATAGCATCAAAAATTCAATTTCAATTGAAATATTTTAAGACAGAAAGATCTCTTACCAGCTTGATATTTTCTGAGTCTTAAATACACCAGCCTCCTGATTTCTTCTGATGATGTCTCTCACATCTACAGGATTCAGTTAAGAAAGCTTTTGCAGTGATTGTCAACTGACTTACAGAAAAGACCCCCCCCCCAGATGCTGTTCCATGACAAATACATGCGACAGCACAGTGGAGAGAAAGAGCAATAGGGTACTCACAGGAAAAGGGGACAGCCCTGGCTCTGCTGGCCAAATGCTGACACACCACAGGCAGACTCTTTTAATTCCCTAGGCTGCAGTCTCATCACCTGTGAAATGTACATTCAAGTAGCATCCTGGCAAGGCCCAGAGTTACAGGTACTGGTGGGGAACAACTGATCCATAGGTACCAGGCCCACGTGCTTAAAAAAGCTAGGAGCCAGGACCAGCAGTTAGCGTAATAGCTATGTCGCTGGACTTTCATGTAGTCGATTGAGGTTCGAGTCCTGGACCCGGCAGCTTAAACTCACGCTGGGTGCATGTGCGTGCATGTCCAAGATCCCAAGAGGAGAATGGAGGAGAAGGGATTGCAGCATGACCATCCCCCCCCTCAGGGGTGATTTCTCACTTTCTGTCTCTCTGTCTTTCCGGCAAGCGCACGCGCCCTATAGCAAAACAAAACAAAACAAAGCAAAACAAAAACTCTCCAAAAAAAGAAAAAAAAAAAAGCTAGGAGCCCAAGGGCAAGCCTTTTTCAGTCACTGGAGAGGGCAATGTCTCTGAGGCTTTCCAAGTTGAAATCTCTCTGATACCCTCCTACATGCTAGCAGGGAGTGGGGTGAGCAGCAAAGCTCGGAGAACCTGCTAAAAAACAAATCATTGAAGGGAAAAAGTCAATCCAGTGAAAGGTCCCTTGAAGAACTGTCTTCGCAGACCTGTGCTTCAGCGGCTAGTCAGCTGCTGGCTTGTAGGGACTTGTACACATTCACTGAAGAGATGTTTGGCAGGGCTGGTGTGTTACATCGCATGGCAGCATCTGTAGGAGGGCCCATTGGGAAACAGTACGTCAGGTTTCAACACCAGGAGAGGCAGGACTTCAGACCTTCTGATCTTGCTTCAACTTCTGGACACTTAATTCTCGGGACTGTTTCTCTTCCTCTCTTTGCTCTGGCCCCTGTGCAGCTCAGAGCGAAATGTATGAACTGATTCTAATGACCGTGGCATATATTCTCCATTCTGACTTCTATTCCGGGCTCCATCACAATTTCCTAGCTTTCTCATTTCCAATTGCCCTCACTTTCTCATTTATTTTATATCGTATATTCTGTGTGTATCACTGTAAGAAGCCTTGAAATCCCTCTTTTGAATAAGGCAGGTTTAAATAAACAAGAAATAAAAAAATAATTCCAGTGAAGGCTACAAGCTGAACTAAATTGGGCCCATGGGGAGGACACCAAGCAGACAAGCGATGTTCCCCCATTGCTCAGAAAAACAGATTTCCTGAATGCTCAAAGCAAGCATTGGCCAAGATCTCCCTGCAAGAACAGAGCCACAGGACGTTTTAACCCAAATCTCTGCTTGAACCACTAGGCACACCCATTTCTTCTCTGAGTGAATAAGCAGGTACTGTGATAGCTTTCTTCCCCCAGGAGTGGGTAGGAAAAATCAATTAGGTCTACTAATGAAGGGCTTTGTTGAGGTTTACAAAAGTGCAATAATGCAGACTTTTTTTTTTTTTTTCTGGGTGAACTTTCCTGTATGCAAATTAAATACCGTTAAATTACATTCATTAAAAAAATAAAAGAGACTAATTTGCCTACTTGTTTTGATTAACTAAAATGACACATCGGCCTACAGTTCTGTCTATTTCAGGAAGAAAGTATTTCAGGAAAGTCTTTTAAATGAAATGTCTTGTAGAAAAGGACAGCTGACATCTTTATTCTGAGAAGAACAAAATTAGTAAAGAGCCGACTGTCAACTGTTTTTGATTAAGATCCCCCACACTCCGGCCACACCCTACTCCACGTTGCCATGGCAGCCAACCGCACGCCATAATGTGCCTGGTACACCTGTAGCGTGTGTGAGTACATGACTAATCTATCAAGCAAAACATATTATTTTGTTAGTGGAGGTAATACTTTTTATAAAATAGTCACAGGGAAGTTAAATTATATAACTCAGAAAACCTATTAATAATTTTTAGTAAACATCTTAACACTATATACTTTTGTACAATTTATAAACCTGTGACTCCAGGTGGTCAGGCTGAAGCAAGCATATATATTTATATTCTAGAAGCTTTTTGTTTTGTTTGTTTAATGAAAAAATTCACAGCAGGATTTAGGCTGCTTTATTTTTAGAAGTGGGCAGGAAATGCAGTTTGTGGTTTAGGAGGTATTTTTAAAAATTAAAACAAATACAAAGAGCAAAAATGGCAATCGTATTTGAAAATATTATCTTAAGAATTAAATCCTGATATCCTGCTCTCACTCTTTACGTTAGGTCAGATTTTGATGGTTCTCCTGGATGGCACTGTGTCCAATAACAGATTTTATCATTCTTCCGTGTCACCTCAGGGTAATAAAGAAAATCCAATCAAATTGAGTCAATATGTCCAGGATAGTGTTCAAGACGACTGGCCAAATCATGTTCTCTGTACTGCACCCACCTTCTGGAAGACTTTAGTGGGAGGGGTTAGGTACAAAGAAAGCCTTAATGTGATTTTTGATTAAATGGATACAGAGCAATCACTTCCAAGCCCCCCATGTGGGCAACTGGACTTCCAGAGCTGTAGTATATATGTTTGTAGCTAAAAAGAAACCAGAATTCTATCTCTAGACTTTCTTCTCAAATAGAGCACAGTTTTAAGAGTGGGGCTCCATTTCAATTTCATTTCAGTTGATTTTTAATTCTTAGATATATACACATATATTTTATAACAGTGACAATACCTTAAATAATTACATATGTTATGTATCTGTAACATATTGTTTAAAATATGTGCCTCCCCCTGTGATTAATAATCGTTATATTTATCAGTAGTTCTCTCTATACAGTTTGAGAGCTGGCATTGCTCTAGAAGCAAGAAAATATTTTTAAAATAATAACACTGTGATTTACAAAGCACTATTTCATTTATGATCTCTTCATTTTCCTTGGAGCATCAAGAGTGAGAATAGGAAACTATGAGCTGTATAATAATAATAATAATAAATCCTACTCATTTTTAATCTCTAAAGATTTTTTTTAATGCTCTATGCGGCAATATTTGCTGATTTAAGGCTGCAAAATACTCTTAAATGTGCTTATGACTCAAATGTATCGAGAGGATGCCATTGAGGTACTATGAACTTTATGTTAGCAATGCCAACTATTACATTACAGACGAGAGGCCCTTTTTTCCAGAGGGTGCTGAGGAAAGGCAAGATGACATTCAGCAAATCATTCTAGTTTTTGGTGAAACAAATTAGTTTCATGGGAAAAAAATGGTAAGGTTTGAAGGCAAATGATCCTGGCTTCTAGTGCTGGTTCTGAGAGTGGCTGTGTGATTTTGGGTAACCTCTCTGAGCTCCATCTCTAAAACAGGAATCATGATACCTATTTTTAAGCTTAAAATGGAGTATCACTTATGATGAGCCTGACACGTAAGAGATACCGAATTCATGTCAATTCATTATCTTTTTGAATAATTCGGGCAAAAGCTTTGGTAGGCTAAAGAGCCTGATGATCGAAACTAAAATGAAGTTTGGCAGGTAAGCTTTATTTTCTTTCCCTGCTGTTCAGAACTAATCATGTGAACATATATATTGTAGAATTTGGATAACTGGAAGGAATCAAAGAACTTCGGCCCTATGGTTTTTCAGCGCCTTTCACATGTATAAACGTGTTCTAGGCAAGGCAAAATTTCTGTTCCACAAGGACAGGGACTAGGTCTGTCTTGTCCACTGCCATGTAATTGCTTCCAATGAGTTGAATTAATTTAAATGAAATTTTAAAAGATATTTGTTGCGCTCCTACCCCACGTGAGGCACACAGGGTTATTTACAACTCACGCAGTAGATGGAGGAACATCTGAATAGGCACTGGAGGGAGGAGCCTGGGCACAGGGAAATGGCCTGGGATCCCCAAGTTGTCAAGCCTCCCCGGCACGGGCTGCACAATCCATGGGAAGCTTCGTTTGTTAATTACCCAAATCAGGAGCACTTCAAATAAAAATAATGTTAAACCAGAGGTATCTCCTTTCAAAAGCACAGAAGATCTACCAATTTTTGGAAAATCCTAAGCTCAAGATCATGATCCAGACTGCGGGAATAAGATGCTTGGGTCAGGAGCACAGAGAAGTGGGCCACCAAGCATTGGAATTCTTTGCACAAAACATGTTTACTAAGGATGGGTCAAGACAAGGCGCTTGTGCTGAGTGAAGTAGTGATTGCAGCCAGAGACGGTTGCTCACCTCTAGGTGTCCTTTTTTTTTTTTTTTTTTTAAATTATGATTTAGAAAAGGCTTAACATCAGTAAAAACCCAGTTTGCCTTTTCTCTCCCCTCTTCCTTGGCCACTGTCATCACCAGCTCTAAGCCTCATTGTGGTCACTTGGCGGTTCCTTTCTTTAAAAAAGGGCAGTGTTAAAGAAAAAGGACCACATTTCACACTATTTAGGAATAAATATGAGGATGAAATGAGCCAAATGATCCCATCTCCAACTTATCCTTTGTTCTCTTGGGGTATTTGTAGGGGGGGCAGTTCTCAGGTAGGGGGCTCTGGGTTAAGCCCAGCAGTGTAGTTAAAGGACCCAAGAGAACCTTAGAGAAACCTACCCATCAAACTGAGAAAATATTCAGGACTTGCAAAATTCATTTCCATCTTAAGTCTTAATCTCTTTGTAGATATCTCTGTTTAATAAATCTCAGATCGACATCTACCTTTCCAGTGTCAAAGCAAAGAGCTCCAGAAGACATAGGCAATCCATGTGATCCAGTTTGATCCAGTTTAGAGTGATAACAAATAACCTCACAACTGGTTGCCATGCTTCTGACATAAAGATTCAGAAGTAATCCATTCATTGCCTCATGTATTAAAAAAAAAAAAAGAAATAACAGAAGATTAAAAGGAGCTATCAGAAAATGCGATATATTTTTTCAAAGGTGAAAACCAGAGTCTTGGAAGCTTAACGGACTAGGAAGTAAGGTGCAGTTGAATTCATTAAATTCAGAAGCCAAGAACAACACAAATAATTTTTAAAATGATGAGAATAATATACAGGCCAATACTCAGATGTGATGTGCCATTGCCAGGTCGATTTTCAATTACATTTCACTGATGTATTCATTTGTTTCTTAATGTGCTCATCTTGCCCATTAAGAATAATTAGCAGCTTTGCTTAGAGATTTACCGGCTCCTTTCAATGTTCCCCCCCGCCCCACCCCAACCTTTCTGTTGTTGGAAATGTTCCCCCCCCGCCCCACCCCAACCTTTCTGTTGTTGTTGTTGTTGACATCCACTTTTACTTTTTTAGAAAGTAATTTTTGGATAATATCCTACAACTGTTATATAATGTAGGCTTCCTAAAATTTTAAAGGAAACATGTAAACAGTAATTTTTAAATAAGCTTGTTTCGATCTATATGCATTAATAGGATGTGATTCAGGGAATTAGTTATTCTTACAGAGAGTGGGCACACAAATAGAAAAAAAAAATTCATTCATATTAACCTCACTCAGTAAAACAGACTACAACGAATGCCAATTTTAAGCTCTGTTAGCAAATCAAGAATAACAGTATTAAAAGCAGGAAAAACACGTTGCCAATTTTAAGGCTTTAGGCCTGCTTTCTCCTCTTAATTAAGAAAAATTAGATCTAGTTACCACAGAAAAAGGTACGTAAACATAGAACTACATGATAAAAAAGTAAACTCCATCAGGTAAGTCCTAAGAGATGAAATAAAACACAACTACCAGTCTGGGTCTGCATCCTGAAAGAACCTACTTTATCTACATTGTAAAGTTCTTCCCCTCCTGCCCTTTGGCACCCTGCTATATTAAACCCATTGTAAACCCCAGCACAATAAAGCACTCTCAGGGCTGAGCTTCTGAGGACCAAATGTTAAAAATCCATTTTCTTGGGAGGGGGCTGTACCAATCATTTCTTTGAAAGGCCGGCAGAGTGAATACAGGATCTGAGATTTCCTCTCTGGTTTCAAGAGCTGGCATGGCATCTCTGCTGTTTAAAGCAAAGGTGTGTTAATTAATGACATTAGCATTGCTTCCCATCTTTGGAAGCGCTGTAGTTTGGCTCAATAATAATTGTAGTACAATTAAATTTACATGCTGACTACAGATGCTTCCCCTAGTTTGATAAAAAGTTCTAATTGGTTTCTGATGCTATTAAATAAGACACCTGCTGACTTGAGAAAAGCCTCAAGTTACTGGGCCCAATCTGAAAGTTTCTGTGACTCAAATGACCTCCTCTTGGACAATAATCCTGCCTTTTTTTTTTTTTCCTCCCCCTCCAAAAAACATCCGCTTGGGCTAAGGCAGCAGCATACCTGAGCTTCCTCTTGCTCTGTTCCCTGACATGTGGAGGAGGAGCACTCTGAAATGATACACGCACAGAATAACTCAGAAGAGAGCAGACTGAGTGAAACAACACCAGCTCATCTTCAGGAATATTTTGAAAAACTTGCGACAGTCTCAAGATCATGATGAAAATCCTGCATATTAAAAAAGCAAGCACCTTTTATGATCTCTT